AATATTTACTCACATAGAATTGAAAGGATACAAAAGAGATTTCTTTTGCATTTATCTTACGATCATAACCTAGTTAAAACTCTTAGAACTTACGAAGATAAGCTAAATTACTTTAAGCTTCAGCCACTTTCGAATCGAAGACAGCTCCTTGACCTTATTTTCTTGTATAAGTTGGTGAATGGCGTCATTGATAGTTCTTACTTACTAGCCAAATTAAATTTTCGTACCGCATTGAAGTCAAAAAGGCCGTCGTCTTATATACCATTCGTAGAAAAGAGCACACGTTCTCGTCAAGCGCGCTATTCTCCGATTAATAGACTGATGTTGAGTTTTAATGCTATATATAAATTATCACATAAGAATAGTATTGGTGCCATAATGACTAATGATAACAAAAATAAAGATAGAAAAGTTGGTATTGACATATTTTCAGATAATCTTTGGAAATTTAAACGTGATTTATTACATTTATATTCCTCAAATAATTGTAATTCACAGTAAAATTATATTATTTTTCTTTAAGCTAAATTGTGATTAGGAAATGATTGTATATTATAATTTATTAATGATTTTATTTTTGTTATGTTTAACGTTCATGAAATTTCTAATGTTAATAACAATAGTGGAATATGCATGATTTAATTTAATTAATTATATAACACTAAATTCTGATATATTTATTGATCTCTTAATTTTTGTATTCAATTTAATTCACTGCATATGTTTTACTTGTGTCTATTTTTTTGTAATGAAATGTGTGTAACACCTATAATTAAGTCTACGCTTAGTTTTTATGATTTTTTGCAAAAATATTATGCTTTTGTTAGTGTATGTCTTGTTGGTGTTAAATAAATAAATAAATAAAAAAATAGTGCCGTCACTGAGATTCTATATCCACCTTCGGATTGCACCATCAAAAAGATAAGATCATAATAGTCACCTAGGTCTTTATGATCCCTTTCAAATGAGTTCAAACACGATCATTCTGTCTAGTGCCGTCACTGAGATCCTGTACCCTACCACACCCTACCCACCTTCGGAGTCCACCATCATCAGGTAGGTGAGATCATCACAGGCACTTGGTTTTTAAATGAGTCTAAAAACGATGGTTCAAATATGTGGAACTTGCAGCTATTCGTTGTTTAAATTAACGAGATAACGCCGCGTTCACTCCGGACGTTTATTCGGTTAAAAATTGAAAAAAAAAAAAATCCCGCGGGGAATGTGTGTTCACCGGGGAATACGAGTTCACCTGGCCTACGACATAATTATTATTGGCGTAGTTACTCTCTTCTAAACACGCAACTTTCTTAAGATAGATTTAGTTTACGATGTTTCTGCTTATTTAAACGATATAAAGATTAGATTATTCATCTCGTCAATTACACGCAACGTCGGAACGTATTTAGTTTAAGCGATAGATTTCTATTTATATTTTCAACATTTAACTTACTTTCGAAGTTCTTTCGAAGAATTTACCAGTTTCACTTTCGTATGTAAACTACGAAACTTGGGCCACTTATATTGCAATATTTGATAAAATAAATACTTTTTTATTTATTAATTCCTACATCATCTTTACAAGCCGCACGTTTCTGCACGTCAACATTTTACCTTATTGTATCATTATTCATTCTCATCAATTTAGTGCGCAATCATTCGCCGTTGCGCATTGTACTCGCTATCAATAATTTCAGAATAAATTAAATAATCAGTTCAAGTATTTATCAACTCCTAAGATAATTGATAGAATCAGGCGTTACTTTGCGGAAATCCATTACAATAAAGATATTAATTAATTCGCAACCATCCGCTTAAAAAAACAATGATGTGTCTTACTTGGATTGAAGAGCACCTCCCGCCCTCCCTCAATTGCATGCACTACTCCCGTCACCACAATTCCAGGGAAGACACACTATCGACGACAATACGATACGTGTTTCGCCTCTACACGAGGCATCTTCAGGTGATGTAGACTCTACGGTGGCTGACCGCTAAGTGAGCGGCGAGCCAAAACGGTTGTTATTTATACACGCCGACACAACCGCTCTCCACCAAAGTAGCGAGTGATCGCGTCGTGCGATAATAAACCTGTGAATAATTATCATTATTATTTTGGTATCTATATAGTTTTTCTCATCTGGTTGGGTTCTACAAATATATAATTATAAATTAAAATGAAAAGATAAATATACATAAATATCAATAAAATAAATACTAAAATACATAAATAAATAAAAGCCCAACCAGGTGGAAGCCCTCGGCAGGGGAGACCAAACGGCCGAGGGTTAGGAGGAAAGGGAAAGAAACCGGCGGACGATGCGGGCGGTATCGAGGAGCACCGCCTTCTGCCGAGAGGCTGACTGGGATGAGCCCATTCGCAGAGGCGACTACAGAAATAACTTCGGCCGGCATACCACCCCACATGTCAGTCACCTCGTGAGCCAGGTCCAGATATTTTGTTCGTTTATCCGTTTCGGCTTTCACGAGGTTCTCGTCATACAGAATGCTAATGTCGACCAAAAATATCCTTGACTGTGCCCGGTCCATCAGCACAATATCAGGCTTATTCGCACGAATAGTTCTGTCTGTGATGATGGCCCGGTCCCAGTAGAGCCTGGCGCAGTCATTTTCGAGCACGGCTTCCGGCAAGTACTTGTAATACGGAAATTTCCGGTCCACGAGACCGTATTTCAGAGCGAGCTCCTGGTGTAGAATTCTGTCTACTAGGTTGTGCCTGTGCAAGTACTCAGAGTTAGAAAGCGCCAAACAACCGGAGATGACATGCCTAAGTGACTCCCCGGGATGGCGACAAGCTCGACAGACGTCGACGGTGCCATCCTTTAGGATATATCTCCGATAGTTGTTGGTCTTAATAACCTGATCCTGTATTGCACAAACAAAACCCTCGGTTTCCCCGAAGAGGTCACCGAAACGTAGCCAGTTGAGGGAGACGACTGCATCTACGTAGGGCTCATGTAGAGCCCTGTAGTACCTCCCGTGGAGCTCCTTCTCCTTCCATACGGTCTCCCGGTCGGAAATTCTATGCACTGCTGGATCCTGCCATTGCTAGTTGGCTAACGATAGAGGGGTAAGCCCTTTATCACTAGAAATGACGTCCCTATAGAATGGATCATCCGATCTCGCAAGAAAGTAATGACGGAGGCTGCACACTTCGCGATTATGCATGATGAGTGCGCTCAGGAAGCCACGTCTACCATGCTTTCGCGGCAAGTACAGCTTCATTACCGACGATCTCGGATGATGCATCCTATGGGACGTCAGTGTAGTGCGGATTTTTCTATCCAGGGCGTTAAGTTCAGTGTGACTCCACCTGAGTATTTCAAAGGTATACATGAGGACAGGCATGACCCAGCCGTTATATTCTTGTGTCTTATTCACACCGGACAAAAGGCTGTTAAGCACTTTGGTCAAGCGTGCATAAAACACGTCGCAAACTGACTGTTTCATACCAGCCTCATCGATACCGATGTTCTGTGACATACCTAGGTATCGGTATGTTTCAGCCTCGGAGAGGGTCCTTAAGTTGACGGGCATAGATAAGTCTATGCCCTCAGAGTTAGCAAGCCTTCCCCTTTCAACATGGAGGACCGCACACTTATTCGTCCCCAGTTCAATTCTAATAGAATTGCTAAATTCACAAGTGATGTTTAGCAATTCTATAAGATGGGAGCGACTGGAGGCGAATAATTTGTGGTCATCCATATAGAAAAGGTGGGTCACTTTTTTACCTCCTTTCCGAAGCTGAAATCCCCTCCCGGAGCCCTCTAGTAAAGTACTGAGAGGGTTCAAAGAGAGGCAGAACCTGATTGGACTCAGATAGCCGCCCTGGAATATACCCCTTCTTATCCTTATGCGACTTTCCACAGCCGTCATCCGCTCGCCTAGATGACAGAGGATCGTACTCCACTGCCTCATACACTGCTCGAGGAAGTCTCGAACTGTACAGTCAATTTTGTACAGCTCGAGGACCCTCTTTAGCTATGTATGAGGCACCGAGTCAAATGCCTTTCTGTAATCTATCCAGGCGGCGGAGAAGTTCCGACGGTTGCGTTTCACCACTTTGCCAATGACCGCGTCAATGAGGAGTGGTTCCTTGGTTCCACGATCGCCGCCCCAACATCCATTTTGAGCACGCGACATCACCTGATTTGAGTTCAGGTGACGAGTGATTCTCGCGCTCAAAATGGATGTTAGTGTCTTGTATATGGTCGGTAGACACGTGATGGGGCGGTATTTGCTCGGGTCTGTGGCACCCTGATCTTTAGGAACCAAATGAATGATCCAGGTAGTGAAGAGGCTCGGGAGCGACTTCTGGTTGAGAGCCTCTTGAAACTGTCGGGCGAGCACAGCGTGATACACCATGAACCCCTTCACCCAGTAGTGATGCATCCCGTCAATCCCCGGACTTTTCTAGTTAGGGGCCCTACGGACCGCCTCAGCTACGTCATCCGGCGTTATTATGACGGGGTCCATGGGCGTAATACCCGCACACTGACTCGCCACAACTTCCGTCCAAGGGTCCTCGTTGTGGTTTACGGGCTCTGACCACAGGCTGCGCCAGAATGCGACTGTGTCGGCCTGATTCAATGCTGGGCCCGTTCCACTTACCATTGGTCGCTCCAATGATTTATAGAGCCTCTTTTGATCACTCTGGAAGAGACGATTCTGGTTGAACCGTGTCGACCTCTCGGTATATCGCCGAATCCGCTTTTCCCAAGCGGCGATTCTTTGCTTCAGGTTGTCTATGCGCTCCGTTAGTTTTTGCATTATATCCGGCTGGGACAAACTAACATTTGTCCCAGCAAGCGCCATCCTGATGGTGCGTACAATCCTCGGGCTGGTATTGCCTGACCTGAAGCATATCAGTCTGCCGATGAGGGCCCTAGCCTTTGCGATACGTTCTTCAATTCTTATTCTCCAGGCTGGGATAGCACTACTTTGTCCAGTAGCGCGTCCAGCCGTGGAAAGTTTGGCGCCTATAATACTATATAATTGAGTCCGTCTCGCAAAGGTCCCGGCTGGCTTCCAAATAGGTCACCAGCATTGGGTTCAGAGCTCTCACGACAGCCCGATTCCGCTTGCTTAAGGCTATGCGGGGGAAGTTGCGGTCGTTTTTCGAGAGGCGTACTGCGCGTTTCCACAATCGCCTTTTCCAATGTATTCCTCATTTTCTCTAGTTCCAGTTCCTGGGCGACTGTTCCATCATCGTTTGAATCAACCATAACTGGGGTATTCACTGCGTCATCCACGTTTGCCATTTGCTCAGCAAGTTGTGGCGCCGCATTCTCAGCCGCAGCATTTTCACCCGATGATGGAACAGCCTCACGTCGTAGCCGTTCGAGTTCGGTGACATCAAATGTATTTGAGCGCAAGATATACCGAACTCGGTCTGCCAGGTTTTGTTCGGTGACGGTTACAGATGGCTCCAGCTCAGAAAAAAGTCAATGCATCCTTTCCCGATACGCAAAATCTCCAGTTTCTCCCCCTTTCGCCCTAAAATACGCCCGCAATGCGTTGCTGTTCATCTGGGTTGTCCAACGCATGCGGCGTACTCCACCAGTGGCGGGTGCCGATTGCTGGGCCCGCGAAGTCCCTGCCGACACCAAGCTAGCTGGCGGGGATGATGGATGCGAGGGGCTGCTGGGTGGTCATGCAGCACCTCGCGCTCGGCTGGCAGTTCGCATGCTGTCACGTCCAGCGTCAGCTCAGACGCGCCCTGGCGACCTCCAGGCAGCGGCCTTTTGCGCGTTCTATTTAATTCCATCATCCATTTTACAGGGCGTCATTTAACGGGAGACGCCTAGACCCGGCGTCGTTTCATGGTGAGGCCATGTGCACAAGCGGGCCTTTGCACCTTCAATTTTTGCCGAGGCACGGCACTAACACCTCTTGGCAAGGTGCTGACTGACTGCGCTGACGTAGCGGTTTTGTCACATAACCGTTGCATCAACGGGCGATGGGGTCGTCACTTCCCTAGGCCTTTTCATCATTATTTTTATTATTATTTTTTTAATATATTATTATTATTATTATGGTTTTCCATTGCTATTATTATGGTTATTTATTATTATTAATTTAGAGATTAGCCTTAAAGATGTTTAACAAAGGTGAATTAGAAACAATTATTTGTTAACTCAGCAATGCATTGTTACCATTACTATTTTTTAAAATCTCCAACTGTTCCAGCACACACATTCGCAGCCCCTTATTACAAGTATGTAAGACTTCCAAGGAATGGTCGCTGGCTAGGTTGTGTCCAGTCCAAGAGATGTTTAGCAAAATGGGATTTATCAGGATTGCAATTTTTGTACGCGGCTAAATGCTCTTTATAGCGCGTCCCGAAATTGCGACCAGTCTGACCCACGTAAACGGCGTGGCATTCGTTGCAAACAAGTTTATAAATACCCGATTTTTGACTAATATTCAACTTATGTTTATTATTACAAATATTCCTAAGATAATTATTTGTTTTGAAAGCGACGTTAACGCCGTTTTGACTAAGAGTATTGGCTATTTTTTCTGATATGGAGCCTAAGTAGGTCAAACTGCTCACATATCGCCGAACATTTTGAGATTGAACCGCGTACAGAGAATTGCAAATAACATGCTTTTGTTTCTTTTAAAAAAAATTATTAATGAGATTTTTTGAAAAAGCGTTCGAGACTGCAATTTTATAAATTATATTATGTTCTTTTAAATAATATTCTTTACTTAATGGAACAGTGAACAGACGGTTAATGTAACAATAAAAAGCGGTTAATTTATGTTGCCATGGATGATAAGATTAAAGCGGGACCACGCGGTTCGACAACATGACTTCGTTTCGCCCGCTTAGTGCTACCCGTTTATTACCGCCTATTCAGCAAAAACTCCACAAGTGACTTTTATAAGCAATTGCGCAGTGAAGAAGTTTCTGCTACAGCATACATCATCACCAACAGCAGTGAATGGTAATCATCACTCCATCAACCACGAAAAGTATTTTTTGCCTTTGAGTTTCTATGTCTGAACTGCAATAGCGAATCAGTCGAGTCGGCTTCCCAAAAGCGGGTCTCACCGACGAGTTATGAGAAGGCGTATTTATTGCATTAGGATACCCGGAGCACTTGGCAACAGCATAATCACCGTGACTTGCAAGCATCCGTCACCAGATTATCGATCAAATCGCGCCATTAATAAAAAAAAATGAAGATTTACTGTCAACTCAGCAACAACTTCTTCAAGCAATGGAGCAGTTATTCACCAACTTCAAGAAAGATGGAGCTGAAAGAAAAACCCCGTCTTATATATCAAGGCGATTGTAGACTCTGGATCAGTACTCACTGACCTCTATATATACAAGTACGCTGGACTGGCTATACCATAGAAAATGACTGTGCCAATTTGAAGCGCCGCTAAAGGATGTCTTGAAAAATAAAAGTGACATAATATGCCAAAGTCTATTGTCATATTTAAATTGTCTTATTTAATAAATCTGTATTTTGAACTTTTAAACTAAAAAACGAAAGTATTTTATGTTGTTTGATTGTATATAATATTAGTTACATAATAAGAATTATTTTTATTAATAGAGTGTGCGTAATCTCTAAAACTCGTTACCAAAAGGGAAGTGGTATAACATTTCACAAGTAAGTGAATTTGCAGCAAATATTAAACAAATTAAAACTATTTGATAATATAAGTACTTAAAAATTTGTTACTAATCTTAATATCATATATACCAACATCTTTGGCTGTATATTACTGAGTTTTGATAAACAATAAAATTCAATAGGGTTGTCGAGTTCCATGTCTATAATACTTATCGATGTTCATTCCTACCCATATCTGTTAACAAACAAAGTCGCCAACAACAGACAATTATCAAATGTTTATCAATTAACAGGTTTCCAAGTGAACCTAGATTAAAATTATGGCTTAAAAGCATACTTTACTACTTATCTTCACGCACAATCCCTAACGGGGTAGCCAGAGAGAACAGATCGCCAAGTGTCACGATCCTTACATACCTCTTTCGCTTCTTTCAGGTTCATTAACTTCTTCATACATGCACGTCTAGGTATGTGAGTACTCTTGACCTTCCCCTCTTCGAGCAATTTGCTCACATGGTCTTCGAAAGTTAGTCTCGGTCTACCTCGACACCTTTTAATATTTACTTTCGCTCTATATATTTTCTTCACCATTCGGTCTTCACTCATTCGCTCAACGTGCCCAAACCATTGGAGTACGCCCCTATCAATTTTTGTGATAAGGTCATCTTTCAATCCTGCCATATTGCGAATCTCTTCGCTTAAAAGCATAAATATTGTGAATTGGCATCCGAAACCAAATGATCACTTTGAAAAAGTGCAGTATACCGACAATATTTTCTGGGAGTACCATTACCAGTAAGAGTAAGAGTGGAGGACCTACGCACTACGTTCAATGACCTCAATAGTGTCTCCCAACGGATAGGTCTTAAGATGAACATGGACAAAACAGAAGTCATGTGTAATGTCCATGTCACACCTATGCTGGTGGTTTTTGGGAGTACTTAGCTGAAGTTGTTGACTAGTATTTTTACTTGGCACAAATAGTCCGACTAGGTAAGTTCAATTTCGACCGACAGGTCAATCGACGGATTCAACTCGGCTGGGCAGCGTTCGAGAGATTACAACACATCTTCTCGTCAGTCAGTGTCAGTGATGACCTATGGATCTGAGACGAGGTCTTTCACTGCTGGCCGTATGAGTGAGCTCGAAGTCGCTCAGCGAGCTATAAAAAGGGCTATGCTCAGGGGTTCAAACTTAGGAATGAGGATATCTGCAGCAGAACCAGAGTGACCCGACATCGACCAATGGATTAGTATGCTGAAGTGGCAATTGACCGGCCGTATAGCTCGAAGAACCGAATACCGATGGGGAAAAAAGGTTCTCGAGTGGCAGCCTCCTGCAGGTGAAGTGTAGGATGGTTCCCCACTAGATGGAGTCAAAACCTGGTAATATGGCATACAGGAAGTTGATGGATGCAGGTGGCTCAGGACCGTGCTTTGTGGCATTTCTTGGGGGAGGCCTATGTTCAGCAGTGGACTTGTGAAGGGATTTAATGATGAAGATCGATAATGGTATTACATTAATATGATACATAAATAGAATGGACGTTACGGGTAGAGTCCATCTATACATAGAGTCAATTCTATTTAGATATAGGTAGGGTATAGAATTTTATCGATATAATTTGGTACACTGTCTCATCCATATTATTAGTTCCGTGGACGTGCACTTCTGCTGTCAGCGCCAAAATGGCGGAAATCAAATCGCTTCATCATGTCACGGTGTATAGTCAGTCCAGCGTACTTGTATATATAGAGGTCAGTGGTCAGTACCGGAGAGAGTTTCAAGCCAAATCATATCAAGTTGGGTGAGTACCAGGACCAGGACTACACTTATTTCTGGGAAAATCACTTCGAAAAAGCAAAATCATATTACACCGACTGACGAAGGATTATACAGCAACATAAATGTTGCTGGATAATCCTTCTTCTTTCTGCAGTCGGTGCATGATGTACTGATCAAGAAAAGAAGTCAATTCTGAGACCTGCCACTACTTTAGCTGGCGTAACTTCAGATTAGCGTACACCATCAACGACCCCATCCGGTCAGGCCAGTACCAGTCGAGTAGATAGAGGTAACCACAGCAAGCTTGACGAGATGTACCGGAAACCAAAAAGCAATTTTAAAGCATTAGAACGAGCAATCAATACCACTAATCGAGTTACTTATCGAAAAGTGGGAGCTCGAAGGCAGCTAACGTAACTTACAACTTCGCTGGAACGCCATGGAGTCCTTTCACTGGGAGATCGACAGCGAGCTTACCATAGAAGACGTGCAGTACGAAAAAACATGTTCGAAGACAGCTACAAAAATAAATCAACAGTAAGATGTGGTCCGTATCTCATTAAGAGCATTCTACGCCAAAAATGGAAATAACTACGTTCAGCGGCAACTATCAGCAGTGGTTATCTTTTAAAGATCTCTTCATGGAAATCATCCACAAGAATAAATTCATTTCAAACGTGCAAAAAATGCAATACTTGAAAAGCGAGGTCGAGGGAGAAGCCGAGAAACTTATACAACATCCAAATACTCGTTCCGAAAACCATGAAACATGCTGGGAAATTCTGAATAATTGGTATAACAACAAACGATTGATTTTAAGTTCTCACATGAACACACTTTTTGGCTTGCCAGCAATAGAACATCACTCACACAAAAGAGTG